AAAAGTAATTTATACATTTTGCCTCTTTTTTTTTTTAAATTATGGGGCAGCTCCGATGCCATGAATAGGCGAAAGTGCACCACGCTTGACATGCCGTATGTCAGTGCACATGCAACCTTAGAATAAATTGTTTTAAAATGATAAAATAAGTAAATAAAATTAAAGAGAACAAATTTCACGTAGAAAACAGAGTTCTCCTATAAAACGTATTTTAATGAGTAAAAATTTTATTTTTTGTCTATTTTTGAGAGGAACAATGGGAGAGAACTCCAGACAATCAAACCCAAATTTGAAGAAAAAGAATGTTCGGCTACATGAAAGAAATGACATGCTGCAACAATTAAGATCTGTAATCCCCATGCCACAAGGGCAAAGAGCATTTCTTTCGTGCAAAGATGGGATGATGTGGTTTAAAAGATTGAGTAATGGGAAGAGTTGAGTGTGGGATTGAGTAGAGCCATTTTGGAGAGAATGAAATTAATGGGAAGAAGAAAGGTTTGGATCGGTGAGTGGAGAAGAGAAGCGACAGAGAGTGAAAATGGTGGAGGAATATGAAGGGATGGGTACTGAACGGGGAAGATTTGAGTGTTATGATTTGGTACAGATCTTTGTTGCGAAAAGAATGGATGGAAGCCTGGTGCTAAGCTATGACTTCAAGCACAATACCAACACAGGGTGCAAACGGGATTACGGGATTATGAATTATGAGGATACTCAATTTGTGCCCTTTTTTTTTTCCTTTAAACAAACTCCCAAGAACCACACTATTAGAGGAAAACTCTTTCAATATCTATTTCTATGCTCAGAAAACTCAAATTCAAAATTTTATATAAGAAAAATCGTGCTTTTTCCACTCAGATTAATAAATCATTAATTTGATTTGTGTTTTTTTTTTCTTTTATGTCGTCTAGTAACTAATAATTATTTTATTGTAATGATTTTAAGTGTTATAATTAAAAAACTAGCTTAGGTATGCTCCATCTTTTTGTTGATGTAGAATTTGTACCAGGTTGGAGCATTTTTGTCTTCTCATTTTAATAAAATTTATTTTTCTTGCTCATGATAATTAAAAATTTTCTCATGTGTAATGTTTTGATTTATAATTAATAAATGTATCATTTTTGAGTAATAGTTTTCTATCTTATGGAGTGATGAAATTTTTAAAGTTAACATGGTAGAGAAAAGGTGCAAATATATATATTAATTTAATATATTTTTTGAAGATATTAATTTTTTTAATTTTTAAATAAAAATATTAATTTTTTAGTTTTTATTTAAAAATTTTTATTTTTTATTTTTTATTTAAGGATATTAACTTTTAATATTTTAGTTAAAATTTTCATTTACTATATTAGTATCATCAATTAATTAATTTTTAAATAAAAAAAAAAGTTGAAAGTTGTTGTTAAAAATTGATAACCTTAAACAAAAAACTAAATATTAATAAAGTAAATATCTTTAAACAAAAAAATAAAAATAAAATTAACACCACAGTTGAGAGATAAAAATTAACACTTAACATTGAAAAAAAAAGAAGCAACTGCCATAAACACCTTAAAAACATGTGCAATCTTATTATTATTATTATTATTATGATTATTATTATTATTGACCAAATAAAAAAAGCTTTATTTATAGGAGTATTGGAAATTTGGAAGTATTCATATTGTATTCTTACTGGCCGGTGGATGCGGCTTCTAATCCAAGCACTATTTCCCATCCAAAAAATTTCTCCTGCAGCTTTAATAAAAAGAAAAGAAA